CGTTCGATAGAATTCCGAGTAAAGGACCTGCTGCTCCTCTGTAGGTTACAGAGAAATCGAGGACGAACAATGGAGTCTAGCCAAACAGATTCTGGACCCGCCTTGTCCACTTCCGCGAATCTCGTTGCATCACGTTCAGCACAAGTGGCCTGACGAGGTTTACTGAAGAGGCCTGTGGATGACGAAATGCGTGCCACACAAGTCATTTGCGACCTCAACGATGACACCATGTCGGCGATCCTGGTCAAATTTCGATGCAGGCAAACTCCTCGGTACGGAACTAGGAAACTTCAGGAGTTTTTGACAAGAGGAATTATTCTGATGATTTTTCTTTCGTCGGCGACCGTCGACATCTTGACGACATGCCCGCCGCTCCACGATTTAGTCGAGTAATTCCCCGAATTCTGTCGCTCTAAACGCGCGCGAAGCTCATACGTGCGACTGATGAAAACGATATTTCCGTGTCCCTTTTGGTGGACTGTCTCAATGGAATAATCTAGTTTTCTATCCCTCGAGGATGTCCGCGGGGGAAGGCAGAAACGCGATCCTGGCTGCCGGTTAGACGCACATTGCTCTTCCCGTTCGGAATGTGAATGTAGCGCGACTTACAAATCTGATTCCATCTAACCTGAGAGAGCAAGTATTCCATTCGGAACTTGTGGATCGCATTTTTCATTTTCGCAGGCTCCGTCCCAATAATCGAATCATTGACCTTACGTCGGGGAATACAGACGCAGATACACGATGCCAGTATTATTTTGCAAAGTGAAATGCTTGATTAATCGGACATCATTCTCGGGCGCGCTTGAGTAGGTAGCGTTGCTCAGCATAAAGTCAGGATTAACGGGAAAGGTGCTGAATCGGGGCACTTCGCGAATACAGTGAAGACAGACTGATACCTGAAACAACGGAGCGATGCATCATCGAACTCACAATAAGCCTCGCTATGATGAGATCAGCTCACAGACCGAAGCTGACCGAGATAGAGCACGAACGACTCTTGGAGCAACGGAACCGAATCGTTGCAGAAGTGCGCGGCATCAGCTACGATCTACCGCAGAAGATTGAGCCGTATGCCGACCCGCAAGTAGCTCTGCTAAATTTAGAAATGTATTATACAACTGTCGAATCAAAATATCACCAGGAGGGAAGCGAATGAGCCCGCCGCCTTCAGCCAGGATCCAGAACGTCGATCCGCTCGAGGGTTACAACGTTTGCCTAGAATTCCGTGGCTCGTCAGGACACACGGATCTCTACAGGCATCCGAGTAGCCCTCAACTGGGGTGGCGTCGGATGGAAGACACGGTCAAGTTCTCTCGCCTACACGCATCCCCAGGGGGACGTGCTCCACGATGGCGTCTTCTTGCGAACCAGTCAATTGTACTGTATCGATATTCACATCGCGAAAGTTGCTGCAAACGGTCACACACGACTCACCCAATTAGTTTGAGACTCATCAAAGGGAAGCTACCCCTCTGGTATAACCTACAGAACCTGCAGCTACAGTCGAACCCGCTTAAAAGAGACTTCTCGGGGAATTGAAAATGGTCTCTTATATCCGGTTTCTCTAATATCCGAGGTACGGTTTTTCGACGAAAAGACTTGAAACATCTCGTTCTCGTATGACTTGGATGCCTGTATCATGATCCTGTGAAGAGACGATCATTTTCGGAGCAATGATCATATCGAACCGTGGATCTGCGCGTGTTATCTCATTCGCGCAGGTTCCGAGAGGAAGAGGAGTCATGGGAGAGCAAACAGAAATTCTGCTTGAGACGGTCATCCTTATATACGAGGTCTCCAACATGGAACTCTATGGGGCCGGGGTTTGCAAATTGTCTCTTATATCCGGTTTTCTCTTATATCCGAGTTTCTTATAAGCGAGGTTTTTAACATGAAACCCTATGGAGAAAAATCGGGGAATCGGGATCGGTCTCTTAAATCCGGTTTTCTCTTTTAACCGGTTTTCTTATAAGCGGGTTCGACTGTAGATGAATTCCGGCGGTAGCGATCATCTGCAGCCAGTGATGACGGGGACCTCCCGCTAAAGACTTCGCGTCTCTTTGGAAGCCCTATTATGAGACGAATTTTTCTAATTCGATATAGGAATGAGAAGAGCTGTAAATCCTTGATATAGTTCCTCGGATAACTTTATTTACACGTGGACGGAGTTGCAAATGAAAAGCGATAACAACCAGTTGGAACGCTCGTTTTTCTCCGATCATTCAGAGGATCAGATCGAGTTTCCTCGATCTCACGGAGAGTACTTCGACCACCTCCTCAGCGCTGGTCGGGATTTCGCGATGTTTCTTCATGCATGCAAGACCCTTGAGCCGTTCCTCATTCATAGCTGTACGGAGATGCGTTCCAGGCAATCTGAAAATCCCGACGGTACGTTCGGGACTCGCTGTTGTTACCGGTAGAGTCGCATGAATTCGCAGCAAGGTCGATGCCGGATGATCATCAGCCACGCAAAGGTTCAAGACGTCCACAGCATTTCGTGGCGGCTCTACTCTGGTAGTCCGAATCCACTTCATCCTCCAGCGCTCGTATCCGCCTCCCACAGTGCTTCGGCTGCAGTTGAGATCACCCTGATAGAGTTCAGTCGCATGTTCGGAATTCTCGAAACAGCATGAATAAGGCTCAAGGTGATTTATCTTCATGTCCTCTTGCCTGCAGTCGTTGTAGAGAGAATCCACATCCACGATCAGCTGACCTATGTACATATTGAATGTACACGCTTACTCTGGAACATTTTTCCACATTCTGCAAAGGATGATTCAGTCAATTCTTCGCGACACAATGTCGGCAGTTCCACCTCGATTTCCAACAGAGAACAAAGTTTCAATTTCTTCGAAAATCGATCCGGAAGCACCGTCGGCATTTTCTTGCCGCTGCAATACAAATGTACGGAAAATGTCCAGTTCGGACGATTGTAGCGAAACTGATAATGGCATTACGAGCTATGCAGAGCTCTCGAGGACCAGAAGCGCGTCGACGAATTTACGCTTGCGAATCGGCTTGGTGACAGGAATCTCTCCTGGTCGTGGCGATCTCCTCTAGGGCGCCAAAAATCGGCACTGGAATTCCCTTAAACGTGATGAGGGCTCGATGACTCTCTATCCATCTCGTGGCGCAGAGCGGCTTGAGTCGCCTACCTACGATGGTGTCGCAATGACGCTCAACTTGACTTCCGAGCGCGGCGATGCGCTGAGACGAGCTCGGTATGAAGGCGCAAACGCTAGCAATAGTTCCCACTGCATTTCCTATCGCGATTATCTACGACAAACGAACCATCGCGAGGTTAAAGCTGAGACCTGCGCTATGAGAGTACAGCGCTTGAGGTATTGTGGATTTTATTCGTCTCTGAACTGAATGCATCGCTCATTGTACTGCATCCTTCGCAGCCTTATTGCCGCGACTTTGTCATATCGATGCCCTCAGACCCCAGAGTTTCCAAGATGATTTTAGTGAGACCTCTACCCGTTCTGTTCGGCACTCCGGAAAACATCGAGAAGTTTTCAACAACGACTTTTAGTCTTTTCTAGGAGTAACGTACCGGAGACATATTTTGAGCTGATCAATCATGCCGACATCTCGCGTCTCACTCGCGAGTACCGGAAAAAAGCTGATTACGATATCTCCGCACAAATCTTCTGCCTGAATATTTTCCCGGTAGTATTCATCACTTCGCTCTGGATTTTCGGACTTATGTAAGGGTCGTTCGAGCCGGCACCGCTCAGATGATCTCGCAGCACCGCGTAACCGGCACCCACTCGGAACCTCAACAACGCTCTGATGTTTCCGTCATTATGTTTCGATTCTTCGCTGGGATCCCCATCATTCCTGTGGCCTTTCAGAGGCAAGCCTTGTACTCCACAGAGTATCATGGTTTTCACTATGGACGAGAGGTTTTTTCGACTCTCGATAGCTTGTTTTCTTCTGCCTTCGTCGGCCAAGCTTCCAGTGTCTAGCTTTTCCGTATCCTCAAATCTCTTCAGGAAGTTTTCTGCGTCGATACTGGCCTTGACGTGACACCAAGATGCATCATGCCCTCTCGGTGTTTCGAGGGTTCTCGCGAACTTAGCGAGCGGCGAGTTCACGAACACGACGAGCGCTCGGCAGCCTCCACGATCGCTTTCATTCCGCGCAAAGAATACACATTTTTTGCAGAGGGCTACATTTCTCTTCTCACTGTGAGACAGCCATGTCCATTTTCGCAGGATCTCATATCGGAGCCGTCTGTTCCTTCCATTTTGCGTCACCTCCAGGAATTCATAATTCCCATCGGGCGTCCAGGTGACCAGTACAGCGTTGCACTTGTCATGCTCGCTGACAACCGCGGTGGAACCCACAAAGTCACCTATGTCCCATACGTGAAGGAGAGACTTGACTCGTTCAGCTCGACCATGAGATCCGGGCTCACTCGGATCAAAGACAAAGAAGGATTCAGGCTCTTCTCCTCTATTCTCGGGTCTTGGAGAGCACGTTCTGAGGAGCCATTCGACATTTTCTCCCCGAAAAATGATGTCAATACAGCTTGTTTCCTCTTCATGATCATTGGGGAGCGCGACCGCGGTTTTGAAGCGCCTTCCGGATTATGAAAATATCGTTCAGGGTCGTTGATTTAAGTCTGGCTCGATTCTCGCCCAGCGGATGACGGACCGTACGAAAGTCCCTCTCTGCTTGCACCGATGTAGGTGGAATGGCTCTTGAGCTCTCCAAGCAAGTGTTCAAGGAGAGTCCGCGACCTCCTCCGGATTTGAAGAAACTAAATTCGCGGTTCAACTGAACTCTACCAGATGGAGCTCTACCGCTTGAGCTCGCCCCGGCGCTATTGGAGGAAGCTGATGTCTCGTTGAATATTGAATCCCAGCTAACTGTCTGCAATAGAATGAGCTTGGATGAGGAAATTTTCAGCGACATGGCGCAATGCTTTCTTTCGATGCGCAACAAGCATACGAACCGGAGCTTGGCTGAGCATCTCGAGGGAGGATGACTCATCCTCGACAAATTCCCGCGCATCGAGAATATCCGCCAGATTGTCCAAAACTTCATCGTCGGAAAGACGCTCTTGTCCAACTTCGAGTTCGAGGCTGAAGTCATATTCGTAATTCTCCAATACAGCCAGAATGCTAGAGTGAATTGTCCGTCTTTTTCTGATCTCCCCTTTCAAACTCTCAAGGAGGATTCGAGATAGCTCAACATTCATCTCATCGAGATCCTTCATCAATAGCGAGAAGACTCTGTCCGCGTGAAACAAGGTGGCTTCGTTTTTGCACAAGACTAGAATGGCTCGTTTGAATGGTGACAAGATGTTCCTGATCCTTTCCAAACCCACAGCGTCACTCGGGCTCAGGGGCGTTCCGTAGCGGGATAGGACGTTGTAGATTGCTGGCAGAATCTCGATGGCACGCTCGATCATTTCCAGTGTGGAGTACCATCTCGTTTTACAATCGATCTTGACACACAACGACCTGCCATTGTATTCATCCCTCTCCGTGATCTTCCGGACTTCATCCATCATGGCGGTTTTCCTCCGGAAATTGCGCGCGACAGCGCGAAGACGGCGGAGTGCTTCACCGAGCGTCACTGAGTTCCACGTCTCGACACGTTCATCGTCGTCATCGGAATTTCCCGTGTCCTCCGCATCGCTCCTGTCGCTATCTTCAGGAGAATCGTCGCCGCTATCGACTCGAGAAATACTTCGGTCATCTCCGTCCGTCAGGATCGCCACATCGAATGCTGCAGCTTGAGCTCCGTAGACAGCTCTTCGTATTACCAGATCCAATCCATGAGCAAAGCACTTCTGCCGATGAACTCCAATAAGGTCTACTGCCTTGAGCACGTTGGAGGCGCCATCGGTGACTGCTGCTACGATATCGTTCCTTGACAATTTGAATGAGCTTAGCCGGTGGCAGATAACGTCTCTCAGATATTCTCCTGTAGCCCTCTCCTTTACTCGTATCAGGCCCAGGGGAGCTATATTTGAACGTCCGAAGATTTTATCCGAGTCATGGAGGTTCACTGTGAGATATCGGTCGGTTCCTATCAACGTGGCTTCGTCGAAGGACATGGAAAACTTCATTCCTGCAAAAACCAGCGTATGACTTCGAGCATATCTTCATGAGACAACATTGCGGCAGACACACCAGCCTTGATAATATTCGAGAGGAGAGCCTGTACCTTTCTCCCGGATCTGTTGGGGCGTGGTCATCAAATCATTCCGGACTCGAGTTGCCTCTTCTGACAGCAGGACCCTCAGCGTGGGATGGGACTTCGGCGGGGCGGATCATTTGGATACGCGCGAGTGGGTGATCTATTCACCGCGCCAGAAGTGATGACCTGGTTCCTACTGAGGTTCGACTCGCAGATCAGCGAAACGATCTCACTCCGAATAGTCCGCCTTGCGACGACGAACGAATCGATTCGAAGCTGCGTCTTCCTTCTCTTGGCCACCGGGACGACCTGGTGAGCGTCCAGTTCGGATTCGGGAGGGGCCTCTTCCTCCGCTATCTCTAGCGTAGACTCGCTCACATTCTGTCCGGAGACCGACGAACTCCAGCCCGGGCTGTCCTTAGAAATCTCGTGTTTCCTGCTGAGGTGGTCGATGAGCGAGCTGGTATTTCTGACGCTCTTTTCAGCTCCTGCGATCCGAATTTCCCAGAGGAATGAATGTAGCGTTTCTCGCAATAATATTGTTCTCCTCGATTCGGGAAACATTCTAAGATCGACTGAAGGCAGATGGAGCTTCCGCAATTCACACGAGACACTCACCCATTCACCCCGAAACACTCAATCATTTTCCACACGATATCACAGACACTTGCGAGTCCTCGCGAAACAGGACACTGGAGCAGTTTTCCCGGTTGCACATGATAGGGGAAACGAACGGACAAGACTCATGGAAAGTAACCGGGAACACAATCTAATCGGCTGCTGTGAGGTACAGAGACCCCAATAGAGCGGAGGTATTATCGTCGGATGTAAGTTTTACGACGATCACATAGATTCTTCCTTCCATCTGGTAACTAACCTTCAGGCACTGAGAGCACTGAGCACGGTCGGATGCTTTCCTGTACCATCTCCGAACCCAGCTCTTCGCCCCTTTAACTACTCGGAAGTCAGCCATACAGTTTTAAATTATGTATCGGATCTACTAAAGGCACGAGTACTGGCTTTCTTCCCGAACCATGGGGTTCCCGTCTGGAACGGCTCAAGAACCAACAGATCATCATAACTAGAGCGCGGATGTTTATGCATTTATAATTCGAGAATTATGCATGCAATTATGCACTTAAAACGCCCAAAATATGCACTAAAAAAACAGATTTATGCATTTAATTTTTGAGTCATGTACAGTACTATGACGGGTCTCTCACTGATTACAATATACCACAAGGACTTGTTTTAAGTGTTCGAACGTAAAACCTCGCCGTCGGTCACTTAATGTATGCTTCAGCATGGAAAACGATCTCTCCACATCTACTGAAGTGATCGGCGCGAACTTCAACGAAGCCAGCTCCGACGGACTGAGGATGTCGTCGTCAGGTTCCTCGGAAGCGTAACCGCGCAGGATGTTGGCCACTCTTTTCAGCTGGTGGTAGTCAGGATTGTCGCGTAGGACGTGATCGCATTTCCGACGTATTTTCTCACCAATGGAACCTGGAGTTCGTTTTAGGTCGAGGAGGAGATTTTCAAAAATCTCGGTGCTTCCTACGAGGGGTACGTTTTGCTCTTCGAGCGCTGCGATGCCCTTCGGCAGAGCACCGAAGTGTGCGTCGATGAACGCGAGATCGTCCTTCAACGTTGCCGCTTCCAAGAGCTGCTGGACGACACGTATGCTGGCGGCTTCACTGGCATCGAGAGCATAGATCACCGAAGAGAACACCTCGAGGTTTCTAGCGTAGTAAATCGCTGCATCGATCCGCGTGCCCCATCTTGTGAGGATCGGCTGCGGTGGCAAAGCAGTGCCCGGTGCGATCTCTCGGAAACGGATGACTCGTGCTGCCGACTTACGGAAAACTTTCTTTCCGTTAGCGACTAGCCTGTCGACGTCAGGGAAGATTAGCCTGACTTCTTCGGCTATACTATGCACTGCGTGAGCAGCACACGTTACATGTAGCATTTTGCTGAAGATCACTTTCAGAGCAGCGCCGGCCTTCTTCATATAAGCGGCACCATCGGAGACAAAGAGGAGTACCTTTTCATGTTGAATTCCATCTGGCCAGAGTACTGCCAGAGAGTTCATGAACGCTTGTGAAATCGTGGAGCTGTTGGTCTTTTCAAGACTTTCTGCATGCAATAGAAAACTTTTGGTTCCTTCCGTTCCGAGCGTGCCCACGACCGTGTGAGCAACCGATCGGCCGGTTACGTCGGTTCTTTCATCGATAGATAGCCATATCGATGTGCCATCCACAGCGTTCCTGATGAATTCCAACTTCTGCTCATAGACACTCTCCAAATAGATCTTCCGGAGAGTCGATGGACAGGGTATCTGCTCTTTTGAATATGTTCCGAGGAAACGCTTCAACTTCGCGTTCTCTAATTTTCGCAACGGGATACCAGCAGAAACCAACGCTTCACGAAGATCGAGCTTGAATTTTGATTGCCTCCCTGAGGTCTTCAGGAAAGAGCCGATCTGGACTACACTCGATGATGTCGCCTGAGTCTTCTTGATAAGGAGCGATTTGTGTCTCGCGCCATTGAGATGCTGGGTGATTTGAGATTTCCGGTCAGCTGTCACTTGCCGCTCGCAGATTTTGCACAGTATAACGTGTCCGTCGGTCGAGAGGTTCCCGTCGCCGAGGATTTTCACATAGGACTCGAGCTTCGCTCTGGTACACACCATCACTTTCGGCATCTCCAGACTTATGCGTTTCGTTACCGCGCGGTAGAAATTGAGAATTATCGCACGCGGCGCGGCGAGTCTCGATTGTCACCCGTCGGCGTCGCGGCCACTCGAGCGCATGATCGCACGTTCGAGTCGAGTTGGACCAGCACGTGACGAAAAGGCGCCTCTGCTAGGCCTTGCGAAAAACCGCTTTTTGAAAAAATTGCGGTTGCGGTTGACCGCGGATGAGAAAACCGCGGTTACAGTCACTTTGCGGTTAATAACCGCATATTCACAGAATTTTTTGTTCTCGTCCGTTGTCCACAAAAGGTCCGGAGAGCATTATTTATTTACAGTCTGTTTGCTACATTAAGTTACCATCAAGTTACAAAAGCCCGTGCTGCAAAGCCTTACGGACGATGAAGATGTTATGGAGGGTCTCCGTTTTCATGCTTCCTCGATTCTCTCCTAGAATCAGGCCGACTACACTAAAATCTCGTTCTGGTTGCACGGAGGTTGGGGGGATCGCTTCCAAACTTTCCAGACAGCGCTTGAGCAGGCGGCCGCGTTGTGGATTCAAACGCTCTCCACTCGGTGCTTCGATCTTCGATCAATGAAAGCCGGACGAGAGCGCGAATACTCCGAATCGGAGCCAAGCCTGATCATCGATAGGCGTATCGGTCATACGATGCTTGCTGTGTTCTGGTTTTCCACTGACATGAGTTGGCTCTCTCTCCTGCCCGGCAGGGAGACTCTGCATTCTCAGAAAAGGCCGAATTGAAGGTGTTAAGCCAACAAATTATACTGGACAAAATGCGGTCGTTCACCGCAAAAAAACCGCAGAGGGTGCGGTTATCCTGCGGTTAATAACCGCGAAAATTTTGCGGTTAACCGCGATTTCCCGACCACGGTGAAAAACCGCGCAAGGCCTAGCCTCTGCCCGATATGCCTCTGAGGGCTCTATGTCCCGGTACGATGTCTACTTCGTCTCGACCCGGCAGAAAACTCAATTCGGCGACCAGAACTGCCCATAAAGAAGACCGAAAGGGGCGAATTATGCAGAAATATGCTCTCAGAACCATTTTATGCATTTAGGGCTGAAAAAGAGCGATTTATGCGTTTTTATGCATCTTATGCATTTTGCATGAACATCCGCGCCTCTGATCATAACAATGCAGCTTTGAATGGACGCATTCCTTGGCGTTCCATCTGGGGCGAGGGCGGAGGATGATCGGAAGACGTTCCATGCGAAAGGCGATTCCCTGGCCGAGGGCGGCATCATAGGCGATTGAGGCCTAGCCGACCTGATTGAAAAGCGATTTTGCAGAGCTCGACTCTCGCTGAGGCCTGATCGCAGGTAATTGGTAATTGGGCCTCTGCCACCATCCAGACAGACGAAATAGTGGAACTTAATCGGAAATCCGGTAGTCCATCGGATTGCGTTTTTTTGCGGTTAACCGCGGGGAGGAGCGGTTTTTTCGCGGTTTTAAACCGCTGAAAATTGCGGTTAACCGCGGTTTTAAAACCGCGGTTGACAAACCGCGCGATGCCTAGGTGCGACCGCATGTGACCCTCTTTATCGTCTAGAGAATCAAAATCGAGAGCAGATCACTTCTATTTATGAGTGTCCATGAGACATTTTCAGCGGGGAATGCGGACGCAAACACTGTGCGAGGTGTCTGGGATGTGGACTCCCGCGGTGTCCATTAGCTAATGAAAAAGACCGTGGACGCTGATGGACGCCGAGCTTTGAATTCACCTTCCCCGTGGTTGAAGCTTCCGGAAAAACTTAGGCCCACACTCGCGGAGATCGTCAGGTAAGCGATCGGTAGCTCTGACAAGAAGTTTGTTCATATATCCCATGATCCTCCTGCAAACTAGCAAGCAAGCTCTCTTGTGGAGAAGAGAAGCCAAGAGCGGGCCCAGTCCTGCGCGGCCGTAGAACGATATCATAAAGACTTCTATGGTCATTCATAGCCGGTAAACAATATCTTAAGGAATTCAATAGTGGTCAAGAATTTATTCAATATTTATCTAATAGTCAATTTATCATAATAGTGCATATATTAGAATTTTCCTACCTAATTTCTCGGAGAGATATACCTAAGACGGGTCAATGAGCCATCGTATCTCTTTGAAGGCTGTGAAGACCCCGCAAGCCATTAGGCACGGGGCATCGACTCCGACGACGTTTACACTAAGTAAGATAAATATATTTGACCGCTTTTCACAATAAATATAAAAATTCCTAAAAATAAAAATTAATATTCCTTAACTATCGGTCCTGCGACGGCCCGTCGCCCCTGATAGTCCCCACTCATCAGAGGCGACATCAAGCAGAGAACTATCCATCCAGGGATTCCGCAAGCCATCGAATCTCTTTGATAGCGATTAAGGCGCCGCAGGCCAGAAGGCAGTTTTGGGCCTGGTTGATTAGGTACAAGGTCCGTATGCGGGTAGATTCCCCCTTGTGTCCCTCCTCGAGGACGTGGTCGCGGAGACCTCGAACGTAATCAACCAGAAAATCGTCCCAGATGAGCGAACCCACGTCTATTTCGAACTCTCGACGATCGTTCTCGTCCAGAAACTCGGAGAGCTCTTCCAATTTCTCCGTCCTGAACGTCCACTCATGAGTGGTGAAGAACGAGAGGGCCGACTGCATGGCGTTGATCTGCTCGTACGCCTTGTTCAGGAAGGGTTTCTTCCCGATCATCGAGAGGACGCCATCCCCAATGAAGGCGGGAAGAAAATGCTGGAAGATCATTGACAATTTGTGCATCGTCCAGTTGCTGCGCAGGGTGAGGGCGGGATAGCGGACGGCATTATTGAACGTGACCTCCTTGACGAGCTTCTTTTGGAAATTCGCGAAGTCGCCCCAGGTGAAACTGGGTGCCCGATCGCCGATGGCACAGTTGTAGATTCCAATTTTCTTGGAATCTGTGGTTCCCGCTCGCCACGCAGCGAGGATCACGGTTTTTGCGACAATGTTGACCGGAATCAAGTCGGTCCTCATTTCACTTCTCGAATAGATTGACTTGAGCAGCCCGCAAGCTGTCGAACAGACCATTCCACTCGGTCCGTTGTAATTGTCCACCCACCCTGGGAAGGGTTCGGACATGGAAGCGACCACGATCGACGGTCTGACTATCGTGATCGTGAAGGGCACGGTCTCGTTGTACTTCTGGATCATAAGCTCCGTGAGGTGCTTTGTGAAGGTGTACGTATTCGGCTTCTCGGCCAGAAGCTCCTCCTGCATCTTCTCGAGACTCTTCTCGTCGAGGCCCTCGACCAACTCCATGATCTTCTCACTGTCGTGCTCGCTCTCGTAGATGCGCTCTTCGATGACATCATTGTCACAGTTTGCGTAGCACGTGGATATGTGGACGAACACCTTGAGTTTTTCGAACGTCCTGGCCATGTCGAATAGCTTCTTTGTGCCACACAGATTCATGTGGACCGCGTCTCGGAGCGGGGCGTCAAATCTCACTGACGCTGCCGAATGCACCACGATGTCCACTTCTTTGCGGAGGATCTGGAGGTCTTCGTCACTCACGCCCAGACGGTCTTGTAGCATGTCCCCGTTTACGAACTTGACCTTGAGGAGAAGATCCGAGGACTCGCTCCGGACGCGGTCGAAGAGCGCACTTTCGAAAATCTGGGCAAAGCGCTCCTCGAGAGTCTTCCCGCGCTTTGGACGAGCCAGGACGAAGATGGAACTCACGTCGGGGCATGAGCGGAGAATTTTCTCCAGAAGTACTTTTCCGATGAAGCCGGTGCATCCAGTCACGAAGAGGGTTTTTCCAGCGAAGAACTCGCTCACGCCGACGTACTGCTCCATGACGTGAGAAAGCTGGGAGTGCTGGGAACAATTCGGGTAAAACTTATCCGGCTCAAGGAGTTTCCTCGATGTTGAGTCGCTCCCAGTTTGGTTCCGGAGGTCGGTGCGATTGTTTGATAACTCATCGAGGTTCCCCGACGTAGTTATAGGGTTCCAGTGAGGAGGATCAGAGAGAAAGAGTCCTCTAGGAGCCCCTCCGGGTTAGTCATCAGAGGCCAAATGCAGTGCTCCATCGCCGGGAACAGAGGAACTGGCGATCGAGGGTTGAGACTCGCGTCGCTTGACGGTGGGACCCGTTCTGGGCGGATGAACACGGACGCCGGATCGAGCAACTGAGGGGGCGTGTTTCTTGTTGGGACGTTCTGAGATCGTCCGCGGGCGCACTGCGGAGAGCGGACCCATCTGGAGGGCGCCATACCTCGAGAACATGGTGGATGCAGGTCTACGAGGTTCGATCAAGGTGGGGTGAAAATGGTCGCGGCCGATTCTCGCGGCATTGGGGGTCCGGCCGGAAGGCTCGTTGATCATCCTCGAGAGAAGTCGGATGTTCCGAGAAGAACATCAATCTGAGGTATCGATGTTTTCTATTCGTGCGAGCCATCCGCTTTTCGGAGTGGAATCAGATCGCCGTGAGTTTCGTACAAGCTTCGACGAAGCTCTACGTTGCCAAGCTCCTACGATCGGGAACGTGGGAGACCCTGCGTGATATTTTGAGAATTAATGGGACACATTGCTCGGTGCAGACATATATGAATTGTCGGATTGCGTCTAATATCTCGGAAAATTCGAAAATTCGTCCCATGCTCACATTCTCATTCCTTCACTCATTCCTCTCCGCTCTCGGCCGGGAAGTCGAATTCCTGATCGCCCACTGTAATATCCGGGGCAGTTGGACACCGACATTAGAAGGCGAAAGGAATTCTGCTCTAAATTACGGGCCCCTGGATTTAAGTAGTGCGAACTGATCTAATTTGAAGAAAATACCGTTTTCCGCTGAGAGCGCCTTTCCGGAAGTGGGGGTGCTACGAAAACCGGGAATCTTCGCAAAGACCGTCTAGACCAGCGTTTCCCAACCTTTCTGGTCCCGAGTACCCCCTGAGGTTGGTCGAGTGTCTCCGGTACCCCCTCCGGTACCCCCTACCCCTAGAAAACCGAAATTTAAGCTTGAAAGAAAAAACAAGCTGATCCACAACATCACGATTCTCTACATTCATTTCTCAACTTATCTCTTTGGAAACTGCGCAATATTTCAAGATCTACCAAGCCATCAACTATTCGTCCCGTTTAAACGTATGTACATATCACACCCGCTAGTGAGATTTTTGCTGTTGCCGGTCATGCAGCAGTTGGTCCATCCAGGGGTCTTTGGCGCGGTCGATAGCTCTTACCCATCTTATCTATCTTCTGCCGAAAAAAATCCTGATGGCTTCCGGTACCCCTCGGGAGAGCTCCTGGTACCCCCAGGGGTACTTGTACCCCCGGTTGGGAAACGCTGGTCTAGACGTACGCAGGCCGGCTTTTTCAACTTGTCTTGTGAATGTCGCGAATGCACGTCTCGCCGGATGCCGGCAGGCGACGTGTGCAGCGATCGAGCTTGGGGAACCTGTCGCAAGGAACCTGAGGAACGTATCGCTAGGAGCTTAAGGAACTCATCGCGATGAGCTTGAGGAACTTATCGCGATCATTTAAATGTATCCAGCCGTAATAAATTGCATTGCGGGAATCCAGTCTTGCCCTGGAAATATTCTGTCCCTCATGATGGTCGCTTGAGACGCTCCCTTCGGAAGATGACTCATTTCGGAGAGCGAACCGCGAGATATAAGGGACGAATGATGTGACGAGCTCCTCTTCGGTGGGAGATTGGCCCGTTCACCAATCATCACTAGCGGAGAGCCCCGGAGCACAGACCTCTGGGAATCCCGACGATCTTCGGATCGAGCAACACCCATTAGGATTGGAAACGGGGGCCCAGTGGAGACGAGCAGGGAGAGTCCACAGATCATCTCCAGCGGGCAGCATCGGAGTCGAGGGCAAGAAAGGCTCAATTTGGAGACTTCTAGACATTTGAGTTCATGTCCGATTCGACCACGCCGTACTGGTCATTGCTGAGCGGCGCGGACTCCGACGGAGGCTAAGACTCAGGTACCAGATAGCATGAGCTGATTCAAGTCGTACTCAAGTCTTACTCAAGTCTCAAATACTTCCGGGAGCGAGAGTCCGGGGATCTTTCGGAAGGCGTCGAGGTATCTTTCGGAAGGCGTCGAGGTATCTTTCGGAAGACGTTGGAGTATCTCCCATCACGCCCTCGTGAACTCATGAGCACGCCCGTCGCAGATTCAAAATTAGACTTCCCGGAAATCTTCAAGATATACATATAGCAGCCATCCTGTTCGATACACCAATCGGGCGCCAGGGCTGACCTCAACAAGCACAGGCCAATTTCAGTTCTGCCGTCATTGAAAGACATTGTTGAAAGGTAGATCGGATCTCAGCTGCGAAATCACCTCAAGAGCAACGACGCCGACGTCCCGGTCTACGACCAACCCTAATTCAGAAGGAGCGCGGCGGCCGATAGCAAAATTGGAGGGACTCGGCCTCATGGGCAGCGCACTACGACTCATGACTCATGACTTCGCACCTCGCCGACCGGCAGCAGGTGTTCGGGCAAGACGGAGACTTTAAGACGGAGAGTCCAGCCTCCTGAGGGAATTCTTCGAGGCAGCGCGCTATCACCTCAGTTGCTCATCTGCTTCCTGATCGACAACTTCGACGAAGAACCACAAACGGAACTTATCGCCTCCGCTGATGATACGGTGCTGCACTTGAAGGAAAATGATCTGAATGGCCTAGCGTAGAAGATAGAGAGAACGAAATCCATCTGAAGACATTGGAATAATCTGACCGTAGCCTTAAGAATCGAGTACGCCCGGACCTGCAACCCCATCTCATTCCTTACCGCTGACATCAAAGCATTTCCGGTGTGCGTGCGTCGCAGGTCCCTCCCCGCGAGACCTGATAAAATATTACTTGATTCACACACGAGAGACTAGCGTGTTGCCCGGGATAGAATCGAAGGGATATGAGCCCGCGATATACATATTTACATAGGTATTTAAATAACTGATATCGACCCGCGATCCAAGAACAATTCAACGAAGAACAGATCTTGCCCGCACCGGGTATAATGCTTCAACAAGCTGGCGAGGAAGTGTCTTGACTACTCCACTATGCGACACAAGTCTGTCTCCTCGAGTTTTCACCGAAGAATGCGGATTAAATCAGAGAAGCGACGTATAGCGTAGAAGCGATCCGTCCGAGTTCTCAATTTCGAGTACATCGGGCTCAGAAGAGAAGCCTGCTGCCGCTACCACATACTCTTCTATACGACCCGCTTCCCTAGACCTTAGACCTGTTGTCCTGACGAGGGTTTCGGCTTCAAAGACGAAGAACATTCCCGACCGTGATTTTCCACAGCTCGATGAAGAATACGGCCTTCGGTTCGATAAATAGACTCGCTCGACAGTCTATTCGGTATTTTCTCGAAAATTTTGCCTCCGGAGCTCATGACTGTCGCTTCGATCCTCTCCTCGACGTGAATTCGTGAATACTCTTCCCTCAATGACTTGATCGTCACTATCGGCGTAGCAGGTGGATATGTGGACGAACACTCAGGAATGTTCGAACGTTGCCGAAGCGATACCGAGTGCGGTCAAGGATCTGATGAGAGGGTCGTGGGGAGTTTCCGTCGTGCATGCGCACGATAATGAGAGCACTCCAAGGGCCTCTGGGAAACGAGAAAGTCGTATCCGGGAGCTGAATCTTCCTCATATTCAGATGGCGGTATCAGGATGAATCAGATCGATGAGCAGCATCCATTTCAAAGCGGGTGGATATAACGGAGGACCAGAATCAGGGCTGGACGTCGAGACCTCGGCGACATTCTTGGGTGCTTCCTCTATCAATAATCATCAGATTTGACAGAGTGAGCATCCTCCCATTGAACGGGAAAATTCCCTCCTTTCCGAGCCGAAAAGGTCGAGCGTCGACGAACCCACAGGGAATACAATAAACCTCGAGAGCTCCTCAATTCAGAGAAGGTCGAGAAGTTGGGTCATATTTCTTTGATTTTCTCATGATATTGCTCAATGTTGGTTGTACCAGAGTCACGCGAATTTTCCGCGATTTAGATCGATAAGTCGTTGCAACGAGGTCGGTGATAAGACGAAGCGCGGAACGTATGGCGAGCTCAAAACATAGATAGAAGTTAAACAATAGAAGTTCGTGACTAGAAATTTACGACCGCCACGGGTAGCGGGTGCCGGCGCCGCTCGGAAGAGGAACCGACATGATCGATTATCTGGATTGATATTTATTTCTGGAAATTTCCAGCTGAACTTCCAGCAACGAGGTCCCGGGTATGAAGCAACTTCGGCTTCCCATGGACTCCATGTTGGAATGGAACTTCTTTCTCATCGATTCCAACTCCAGGAAACGTTCCTAATCTACGTTCCTTATGCGTGGCCCGCGTAGCGCAGAAATTTGCTCTCGACTAGAGCAGGGGTTCCCGAAAAGGAAGCAGTGTCCGTTCAGGCCGGCTGAGCAGATTTCCGGTAAGTCACAGAGGCTCGGGCGAATGTTCAATGTTCAAAGTTATGAATCAATAGAGCAAGGAAGCTCCCGATGTATCAGTGATAGACGCTCCAGAAGGCTGCCCCGACGCTATTCTCTACGGATCGATTTCTGCTTGGATTCACTGATCGATCTCAGCGCGCAACAGAATCAAATGAGCAAACATTAAGGTAAGCTCCTCGAACTCTTCCGTCCTTCTTTGGGGAGGTTGTTCATGCAGAGTAAAACTTGATCACTTCCGGGAGTAATTACCGTGTACGAGATGCGACTACTGGATATGAGAACTGTCTCCGACACCCAACGGCGCGTCGATGGGGTTCTGGTTGAGGCGTATTTGAGCGTGGGGGAAAGCACTGAGAATCGGAGCGGTCTCTAAGTCACAGAGCTGCATCGCGGCTCTCTTCTTCAGAGGGTTGCCGAGCGGCTTCTGGTGATTGATTAGCTAATATACCGCGCATGAACCCCGCACCGAGATATGAAGCGGAGCTCGCCCACGATTACTTCGCTGTGGGGGCGGAGAAGTTGCCGTTAGAGTCTGACGAACGAACTCATCCGCAGAGTTTCCTGGAGGCGAGTCTCGCCCCATCTCTCTTTCTCCCAGAGACCCTTTTAACACCCGGGAGCCCTCATTGGAACATCACACAGTCGCACCAACCCTCAGACTTCACACGAGCAGCATCTCGGCACCGAAGGAGCTCTTTGAGTCGGACAGGTACTCTTCGGATTGTTCTCAACACTTCTCCGAACTTCTTCAGATATGGAGCAATACGTCGGCGTGAGCAAGTTCTTCGCTGGTAAAACCCTCTTTGTGACTGGATGTACCGGCTTCGTCGGTAAAGTACTTCTGGAGAAAACTCTCCGCTCATGCCCCGACGTGAGTTCAATCTACGTTCTGGCTCGTCCCAAGCGCGGAGAGACTCTGGAGGAGCGCTTTGCCCAGATCTTCAGAAGTGCGCTCTTCGACCGCGTCCGGAGCGAGTCCTCGGATCTTCTCCTCAAGGTCAAGTTCGTAAACGGAGACATGCTCCAAGACCGCCTGGGCGTGAGTGACGAAGACCTCCAGATCCTCCGCAAAGAAGTGGACATCGTGGTGCATTCGGCAGCGTCAGTGAGATTCGACGCTCCGCTCCGAGACGCGGTCCACATGAATCTGTGTGGCACGAAGAAGCTACTCGACATGGCCAGGACGTTCGAAAAACTCAAGGTGTTCGTCCACATATCCACGTGCTACGCAAACTGTGACAATGATGTCATCGAAGAGCGACATCTACGAGAGCGAGCACGACAGTGAGAAGAT